TTCTTCTCTGTCACCACAGAGCTCCTTTCGGAAGGCAATATTATGAACTCTGCTTCATTTCACAGTAAGAGCAGAGCTGTTATCTGAACAGCAGTACTGTATAGTTTCAACAACAGTTATCTGGTTGTTTTGGTTTGAATGAAACCTAGGGCACTAGTCTAGAATGAATTCCATCTCTGTATGCAAAAGGGAGAAAAGTGAGGCAAGGCTGAACACTTCAGAAACAGGAGGAGACTTTTAAAAAGGGAAGCACATGGAACACACTTCTCTTCCAACCCACCCACTCCCATATCTGGTCACATATTTACCTCTTGCACTTCTTAAATCCCATCTTCATCATTTGGCTAAATTCCTGCGATCTGACCATCCCTCCCATTAGGGTTGCTTTGTTTTTTGTGGAGCTATACACCTGAGCCTCCAGTTTCCTTCTGCAGTCAGTAGACAAAATGGCTTGAGTGGCTGCAGAAGTACTACAAACAACCAAACTGTGTCTTTTACTGTGGCTTGGGCCCAACACAGGTAAGCAACTGCTTCCTCCCTTACGATGAATCATGCTCCACTAAGATTAGGAGAGTGAAACCCTTATAACAGCACCGTTTGTGCACATTCCTAGGATGCAGAGGTAATACAGAAACTGAACAACCCAGGCTTGTAAACAACCACTCAGCCAAATCAGCTGTGAAAGGTAAGCAACATTTCTAGAGGAAGAGCAAAGGAAGCTTTTGTGAACCAGACAAGAATTGCCAACCTTTCTTTCAGGCCACAAATGCTACAAAACTGACTAAAGGTAGGTATTTAAAAGGTACACAGGATCAAGGCTAGAAGGATAGCAACTTTTGCAGACCTATTTACAAGATTAAAATAACACGCGCAAAATCCTAACAGCTTTTTAAGAGGAGAAAATACTGGAAACGTGTATGTCGTTTCAGTTTCAGAACCTAGAAAGAAGGCACTTGAGGTTTCCAGTAACCACTTGTTGCTGTCAACATTTAGCACATTCCCAGGAACCTATTCTCTCTGCTTGGTAGCCTTTTTTCTGCAGCTCTCCCATTTTTTTACTCTGCAGTATTTATTCTAAAGCCAGCTTACAATAAATCAGAACCCAAAACTCCCCATTTCTGCAAGAGGAGAAGCACAGCAAGGATAAAGAATTAGAAGGAAAATTAAGCAAATTATACATTTTGTTCCAATTGCTGGACTTGAGCTCAGAGGTTTCTCTGCTGAAGAAGGAGTAAAGGTAAAGGTAAAGGACCCCAGACCATTAGGTCCAGTTGTGACCGACTCTGGGATTGCGGCGCTCATCTCACTTTATTGGCCGACGGAGCCGGCATACAGCTTCCGGGTCATGTGGCCAGCATGACTAAGCCACTTCTGGCAAAGCAGAGCAGCGCACGAAAATGCTGTTTACCTTCCCGCCGGAGCGGTACCTATTTATCTACTTGCACTTTGACGTGCTTTCGAACTGCTAGGTTGGCAGGAGCAGGGACCGAGCAATGGGAGCTCACCCCGTCACGGGGATTCGAACCGCCAACCTTCTGATCGGCAAGTCCTAGGCTCTGTGGTTTAACCCACAGCGCCACCCGCGTCCCCTATAGTAGTAGAGTGGTACATAAATTGTATAAATAGATTTAAAAAAACCAAACCTATTTGGGCAGTCGTGTCCTGCATGGGACACCCTGTTCCTTGCCTTCCTTCTACCCCCGGGGTCTCTCAAACCTGATGGGACTGTGCCGTGCTTGTGGATCTAGCATACCCACCTCTCTAAACCTAGAAACTTCACTGGATGTGCCCACTTGCGTTCTACACCCTCTTCCTCACCCAGGCCCAAGTTGCATCACTCCTATTGGCAAAGTGGTAGACCATCCTGCCATGGATGCCAGAAGTCTCAGGTTTACTCCTTAGCATCTCCTCCTGCTTCAGAACATTGAAGAGTCACTGCCTGTCAATGCGGACAGTACCGAGCCAGATGGATCAATGGGCCTGACTCAAATCAAAGAAAAAATCACACCAAAAACTCTGGCCAATATAAGTTTCAGGAGTGAGAGTGGTCCCTACTGGCAAATCAATAGACAATTGTAACAAAAACTAATCCATTCAAAAGTATGTATTCTGACAAGGATTACAAACTCAAATAGAGATTACAAACTCAAACTCATAAGGATATGTATGACACAATAATTTGTTACAGAATTAGAGAAAAGAATTTATGAGTAGAGGTAAGTTCATGTTAGTCCCTAGTCAGATTCGACGTGAAGGTCTTAGTTTCAATCATTGAGCAGAAGTCAGAAGTCAATTGTGGATCAGAAACCAGGACAGGGACCTGTTTCGATACAAGGCAGCTCCCTATGTTCCTCCCTCCACCCAACTACTCCCTGGTAGCACATTCAGCCTGCCAAGCTGGGATTTACTCTCGCCTTCTCCGCTGGGTAGCCCAGTGCGTGGCAGCTGCGAAAACGGCGAATACCAAACCAAGGGTCAGAAATGACTTAGGACCCAAATATCTGAGACCTCCTCCTTCCCTACAGACCTCCTCGGGTGTTAAGATCAGCAGAGGGGGTCCTCTTGCTAGTTCTGCCGCCCTCAGAAGTTCAGGGTTGGTGGCATTCTCTGTCGTGGGATTCCCTCCCCACAGAGGTGCATCTCACACCTGTATTATATAGCTTTTGGCAAATGCTGAAGATGCTTCTTTTCACCCCTGGCCTTTGGCACCTGAGATGTGTGCTTTTGGGACCCACCCTATTCCTGTAACTCAGGGGTCAGCAAACTATGGCCCAGGGGCCGGATCTGGCCCAATCACCTTCTAAATCCGGCCTGCAGATGGTCCAGGAATCAGCGTGTTTTTACATGAGTAGAATGTGCCCTTTTATTTAAAATGGATCTCTGGGTTATTTGTGGGGCTTAGGAATTCGTTCATTTTCCCTCTCAAAATATAGTCCGCCCACCCACAAGGGCTGAGGGACAGTGGACCGGCCCCCTGCTGAAAAAGTTTGCTGACCCCTGCTGTAACTGATTTGGCTGTACAGTGGTACCTCGGGTTAAGTACTTAATTCGTTCCGGAGGTCAGTTCTTAACCTGAAACTGTTCTTAACCTGAAGCACTACTTTAGCTAATGGGGCCTCCTGCTGCTGCTGCTGCGCCGCCAGAGCATGATTTCTGTTCTCATCCTGAAGCAAAGTTCTTAACCTGAAGCACGATTTCTGGGTTAGCGGAGCCTGTAACCTGAAGCATATGTAACCTGAAGCATATGTAACCCGAGGTACTACTGTAGTTTTAAATTGTTTCACCTGCGCTGGGATCTGCTGGTGAAGGACAGATTATACTAACAATCCCGCCAATATCCTAATGGCAGTATACAAATCTATGGTGCGAACACACTTGGAACTGTCCACAGTTTGGGTTGCCTCAGAAGGCAACTGGAGCAGCTTCCCTACGAGGAAAGGCTACAAGTAGAGGAAGTGGATAGCCAAAGGTTCTTTCTCCACTCTTTCATAGCACTAGAACTTGGGAACATCCTGCCCTAAAGCATCATGGGAAAACCTAGCGTTTGTTGCTGCCCTAAAGCATCATGGGAAAACCTAGCGTTTGCCCAGACTTGAACAAGAGCAGTAAATGGCCCTTCCATTACACTGGGATTCTTGCATGCAACTCAAATTAAAAGTCATTTTAATATTTTTAGGCTGAGGTCTGACAAGTGAGTCTCCTCCAGCCACATACTGACTTTAAATTATCTGCTGAAAAGGGCATTTTAACTGGGAGGGTGAGGGGAGAAAAATGCACTAGACTTCCATCAAGTTAACTACTTTTTAATAACGCACCTCGACTTGAACTACACATTTGAAAAAATATTGAGATGTTGGGAGTGTCACTATATAATTCTACAGAGAGTCAGGTAATTGGCTAAGCTGCTGACACAGAATGTTTTAATTAGCCAACTCATCGGCCTCAAGCTGGAAGTCCACTGTAGCAAAGTCTGTGGTGTCAATTATCTGCGGATTGCGGTAATTAGAGGATGGAGTTAAGAGTACCGGTGTCTTTATACCAGAATAGACATCACGTGTACAGCTGGAGAGTGGATGGCTTGCCACTTACTGGATATATCCATGTTTGAGGTTCTCAGATAGAGGTATGACTCTTTCCAGCAACACCTGCAGCTGAGCTGGTGCCCAATGTATTGAAGGAATGGGTTTCTATGCAGTCAGTTTAAAACTGACTCGACCCCCCTTTTCTTCTTAGCATTTCTAAAATGCTTTAACTTGAGCTGTTGAGCAAATGCATAACAAGAACACAGCTGCATAAACAAGGCTCTCTCCTTTATCAGTCTGTGACGATAAGGATGGCCTTGTCCACTCTAAAGTGGAACAGGGATGACACTCTAGGTCTTATCTTACCACAACCCTGACGCACAGACCTAAGTCCGGGAACAAAGCCAGAGTGCGTTCTCGGAGATGATGACCTCTTTCTCCAAGATAAGAGTAGGAAGAGGAAGATCCTTTTATGGTCAGAAGTACAGGAAGGAATACCCTTTTATGGTTAAGAATACCAGAGCAAGAACATATGTGATGTCAACCTGCGTACATAGGCTGACGTGGTTGGATTCCTAGGGAAGGAGGGAGAGGGTGCCTGGAGGATATATATACTGCATGAAATTTCTTATTTCTTTGGACTTGCTGTGGACTCACCACGCAAGTGCCTTCTGCTATCCGGAGAGCAGAATAAACTCTTTCTTGGAATCAACCTTGGTGTCATTTGACTTCCTTCCTCCTGTCCCGGAGCAACGCAGACCCAATCGGTGAACTCCAATAAGGCTACAGTATTGCTCTGCTTTCCTTTGGACCACATCAGTGAGGCTGAGAGCGGGGTCATCTTCTGGGCAGCCCAGAACCTCCAGACACACTCCCCAGGCTTGCGTCCCAACGAGGTCACTTCGGCACTGCTAATGCAGCAGTTTGACTTCATCCTCACAGGCGCGCTCCATTGCTAATGTGGTTTTTATTACTGTATTTTTTTTACTGTGATTGTTAGTTTGCTTTGGGACTTTCTTAGTGGGAAGCAATGAACTGAATAAACCTAAACCTTGGTTATTGGGGGACGGATGTGGAGGCAAAAAGCAAAGCAAAAAGTTTGGAATTCCTTGCCCGTGACAGTCCTTCCTTCAGATAACAACTTTATATCCAAGGGGAAAGGTGTAAATATCTGCCACACAACCCCATATTCTCTCCCCATGGTTTGCTGATGTTCAAATTCGACACCCAGCCCAGAATAGCTATTCTGCAAAATCTTTGTCACAGAACTCAGCAAGCACACTTAAATTTGAAAGAATGAAAAAGCCAGGAACTCACTTTTTCCTTCGTTGCCTTTCCTTTAACCTCGAGTGATAGATATCTACAACTGCAATCTTCAAAGCTGTGTAAGTTCCGGGGGAGAGGGGAGCAAAATAGATGAAAAGAATAAATCCTTCACACTTACAGAGAAATATATAGAGAATTAGCACAGAGCTTATCTCCCAAATCCCCAAAACAACAACCTGTTTTCATCACAGCGTGAAAAAACGACACAGGCCTCAGCAGGGAAGAGACTAGCCAAATCTGGTTTTTGAGATGTTACAAGAGAGAAACCTTCTCAAGGCACTGCAGTGGAAGCAGTTCCAAAGTCTGTATATGAACTGCCGCTGTTTTGAGTCTTATTTTTAGCTGCTTTGATTTGGTACATGACATATTTGCAATCCATTATTGGAGGGAGAATGCCTCTGTATGCCACTCGCTAGGAATCACAAGCAGTTGCATTTAGATGTTGCACTCAGGGTCTTGCCTGTGGGGCGTTCCATAGGGGCAACTTGCCAGCCATTGTGAGAAGAGGGGCCTTATACATGACCCAGCAAGCTCTTCCTATGAAGTGTGTGTGTGTGTGTGTGTGTGTGTGTGTGTGTGTGTGTGGTGATCCTTATTGTTTTAGGGTAAAACGTGTGACGAATATATAGCTGGGAGCTGTCTTAGGAGGGCTTGCTCTGAGAGGCGGCACAAAAATGTTGAAATGTATAATGTGCCCCTGCGTTGTGGGACCTTGCCCCACTGAGGTGGCTCCCATGCGGCAGGATGTGCATGTGAAGAAGGGTTAACATTCCTGCATCTTGCTAAAAGCCAGATAGCACATAAAATACCAGTGTTTCAGGGATCCAAGCATGGGTCCCCCAAAAAATCAAGAATCGTAACCGAGGCTGAAATTTTGCAGTAGCAAACAGTGTGGCTCTGGGGCGGTAGTGGTCCTCCCCTGAGCTCCTGACAGCTGAGCCACTACTGCTTATCAGGAGGGAGAGGGGTGAGGTGGCAGGAAGGTAGGGGTAGTGCAAACACTTCAGCAGAGCCAATCCAGAGCTCCTGCTGCTGCATTTGCTCCATGCTGGCCTCACTGCTGCCTCACCCCCTCTTTCCTGGTAAACGACAGGCACTCAGCTGCCAGGAGGTCAAGGGAGTGATGTCCCCTGCAAAGCTGCTCTGCGTGTGTGTATGCGAGCATACATGTGTGTGTGTGTGGGGGGGGAATATTCAGCAAATCAACACAGTAAAAAACACTACCATGTAGAATCATAGAATTGTAGAGTTGGAAGGGACCCCAAGAGTCAGCGAGCCTAATTCCCCTCAATGCAGCAATCTCCACAAATGGTCCCCCATCCAATTTGAAACCACACTGGACCCTACTTAGCTTTGCAAATATGCTAGCAGTTTTGTCACTGCACCACTAAAGCAACTGGAGAACCACTAAACCATCCCTTGTTGCTTCCAATCTCTGAGTGGAGATACCCCACATTTCCTCTTATAGCTTCACAACGCAAAACACACCGTGTAAAAGTTCCGAGTCATCCTCCACAAAGTCTATATCCCTTAAATCCCATTCAGCATAGTTGTCAAATTCCTGTGGGAGGAAAAAACAACAACTATTGACACAGATGCTGGCAGAAGCTAGGATTTCCACTGTTCAACAGCAGAAAGCATAACAGAACTTGAACATTTCCCTGTGGTATAAAAACGTACGGAATTTGATTGCCGCAGGAAAAAATAACACTTAAATTACAGGTTTCCGAGGGAAAGGAGGGCCCTGAACACTTCTATGCAGTTTAGTGGGAATTTATTTCATGTTCCAGATTTTGACATGCAGCAATCTCTTCCTGCACAATCCAGAGAAATATGGATGTCAGGATTTAAGATCGGGTGTTGCGACTTTGTACAGTTACTCCTTTATTTGTCCTGCCTTGTTTTAGATATCTTTAAGTTGATATTTTGCTGTGGTTGGCATTAAATACTCTGAAAATAAACAAAAGCGTTTGTTTGTTTTTTTAAAAAAGAAATTTGTGGATTTTTTTTTTAAGGTCTCAAGAACCATCGATTTAATGCAAAGGCAGAGATAGCAAAAATGACAAAAGAGCTTTGCAACAACCCCTTCATTCCCAAAGTCTTCAAGGCAGCAAATGGACCACACCACCAGCAGTTCTTCTCACAATTCCTGGGGTTGTCCTTGGCGATTTGGTTCACTCTGCTGCCTTGAAGACTTGGAACCAGACTCCTGCACAGCTGGGTGCTCTGGTTTGGTGTGGGAGGGTAGGGAATAAAATAAGACAAAGCAAAAAATGTTGCTTGTTGATACCCCCACTTCCAGATCCTGATATGAATTTAGCAGGAACTTGATGCCAATTCATCAGCTTCTAACAATAACAACAATAGCAGCAGGTGATTTGCAGCGACTCTTCCCCAGTTGTGAGCATCTCTGCTGCATCGACTGCATTTAGGCAATCTTGCTACTCCCCCAGCGGGTTCCAAGCGGTATTGCATCCTATGCATGTTTATTAAGTGCCCAGTGCCACCACATAACCAAGCCAAGCCTCTGAACCAGGGGTGGGGAACAGCAGACCCAGGGGCCAAGTGTGGCCCTCCATGCCTATCTGGCCCTTGGAACTCGCCACAAGCCACACCCCTTATCCCGCGATTCACACCTCTCACTGCTCCTATTTTGCACCCCAAGTGTATTTCCCTGACTGGGATGCGCCTTCAACTCTGAACATGCCTCCTGCTTGTCGTAGAGAGGGGAGGGTGAGGGCGAGTAGAAAATAGCCTACTGCACAAAAGTAAAAAATAAATAAATGTATTCCTTGCTCTGTCCACCTTTGCCTCAGGCCTCGCCCACTATGTGGCCCTTGGGAGGTTTGTCAGAAAAGAATGTGGCCCTTGGTTCCCCAACCCTGCTCTGAATCACCACCACAAGCCGAAAATCCCACTATAAGCTCCAAAATATGACCTGAGAAATACATTGCAAGTGGTACTGAGAAGTATCACATGCAGGGACAAGAAGGCTCTCATTTCATTCATTCATTCAGCCACCACCCCTGCCCCAATTTCATGAATTGGCTCTTGGCGTGGTTTACGAAAACAAAGGGGCGGGGGGGGGGGAAAGATGAATCAGGAAAATAACAAACAGAATCGCAGAGTTGGAAAGGGACCACAAGGGTCATCTAATCCCACCTCCTGCAATGCATTTGCTCAACGTGGGGCTCGAACCCAGCACGCTCTCATGCTTTACCAACTGAGCTATCCCAGCCATAACGACATTCATCCTATTTGTTTCCGGCAGGAAAGGCAAAGAGCCACACCGAATGAGTTCCTACCTCAATGAAGTCTGCTCTTGCTGGCATGTATCCAGCCATATCCCTGGAGAGCAAGGAATCAAAGGTAGGCCGCGGAGGATCTTCAGCAGCTGGGAGGGGGTGGAAAGCATGTTTTAGTAGTCGGGCCAATAAAAAAAAAATTTATTTGCACCTCCCCTCCTCTCAAAGCAAAGGAGGAAAAAATGGTGTGAATAGCATGCAGGGGGAAGGAAGCGCATTTGTTAGCTTTTTTTTTTTAAAGTTCTTAAGTTAATAACTTGTTATGAATTTCTGTAGTGCCTAACTGTACCTGTCACTGATTCATGTCCCTGAAGGCCCATCTGTGTCCCTGAAGACACAGAATAAGGCATGGGTAGCTAACACAGAGGTCTGCATCTCCAGTCATCTCTGACTACAGTCATACCTTGGAAGTCGAACAAAATCCATTCCAGAAGTCTGTTCAACTTCTGAAATGTTTGACTTCCAAAGCATGGCTTCTATTGGATGCAGGAAGCTCCTGCAGCCAATCAAAAGTCACGGAAGCCCCGTCGGATGTTTGGCTTCCAAAAGAACGTTCGCAAACTGGAACATTCACTCCCAGTTTTCGATCGTTCGGGAGCCAGAACGTGTGACTCCCAAGGTGTTTGGAAGCTGAGGTACGACTGTACTGGTTGTGCTGGCTAGGGCTGATGGGAGTTGTAGTCCTAACAGCCCCTGAAGGGCACCACACTGGCTAATCTGGGAATGTGAAATGCTGCCTCTGTCCCTGCCATGGACTCTTACAATAAAACGGGATGGCTGTGTCACTGTGTTGATTCTCTTCCGCTTGCTTCAGATTTAATAGCGTGGATGCAAAGAGGGGGTTGTTGATGAAATGCTTCATGTAATGTTTTTCGCACTCCTCTTTCGTCTTTGTGTTCATCTGATTTGCTACATCCTGCCTATAAGAGAGAGAGGAGGGGGAATAGTTCTGGTTATGCATCGATCAGGAGGAGGATTGCTCTGTCTGGTTTGCAGTACCCACCAAAGCGGGACGGATCTCGATGTTTAATCAGGCATAAAACTCTCACCAGTTTCCAAAGCCACAATCCATCACAGCTTCTAAGAGGGCCATTTCTTCTTGAGCTGTCCAAGTCGGATCAAGGACGGGGAAGTTGGATGTCTGGCGATATGGGGAAACAAGGAAGGGAACTAATTTTGGCTGTGATTCTGAGCATGGTGTTGAGTAGCTTAAATCCCACCCATCACAGCCTTTAGTGGCATTTTGAACTTGCCTCGTCACCAAAAATCAAGACGCGGAACAACACGTTAGAACACATATATACAAATGGTACACTAAAGCGCCAACTTGCAACCGATTGAGCTCTGGCCGTCAACTCAGCTCAGGAATCCCCATCTCCTGGTGACAACCAAACTCAGTCCAAATAAAAATGGTCTCATTGATGGTGGCCATCAATGTCTCCTGTGAGAGGGAGATCTGAAGTTTAACTACCGTATTGGCCTGAATATAAGCCGCAACCGCACATAAGTCACACCTTTAAAATTTGGCGGCTTTGGGGAGACTTGGGAGCCGCGGACGGGACGAGTGCCATTGCCCTGTGCTGCTTTCTGGGGGGAGCCGCACCACTTTGCTGGTGGCCTTCCCCCCCTTCCCTCATCTGGTGTAGGGGAGACTTGGGAGTGGCGGGCGGGCTGCACGCTGTTGCACCATGCTCCCATGGGTTGGGGGAGCCGTGCCACTTTGCCAGCGACATAAGGTCATGAATATAAGCCACACTTTAATTTTTCACGATCGAACTTTGGAAAAAAGTGTGGCTTATATTCGGGCCAATACAGCATGCACTGTGTGAATAAATGCTTTCTTTTATCTGTCCTGCATCTTCCAACATTCAGCTTCACTGGATGACTGATCTGTGTTGACATCAGAATATAACCACAACATAAAAAGGTAAAGGGACCCCCGACCATTAGGTCCAGTCGTGGCCGACTCTTGGGTTGCGGCGCTCATCTCGCTTTATTGGCCAAGGGAGCCGGCGTACAGCCTCCGGGTCATGTGGCCAGCATTACTGAGCCGCTTCTGGTGAACCAGAGCAGCGCACGGAAACACCGTTTACCTTCCCGCCAGAGCGGTACCTATTTTTCTACTTGCACTTTGACGTGCTTTCGAACTGCTAGGTTGGCAGGAGCAGGGACCGAGCAGCGGGAGCTCACCCCGTCGCAGGGATTCGAACCGCCGACCTTCTGATCGGCAAGCCCTAGGCTCTGTGGTTTAACCCACAGCGCTACCCACATCCCTTAACCACAACATACTCTCTTATTAATACAGATCACATGCATAAGATACATTTAAAGCACACGGCTTTCCCCAAAGAATTCCAGGAACTGCAGTTTGTTAAGGATGCTCAAAAATGTAGCTTGGCCTGATCCGGCAGGCTATCTTATGTTCGTAAATGGTGTTCATAACTCAGTGACTTCCTCCAGAGGCACCATTCAAATCTGGTATGTGGGGCTGCAAATGTCCATTGCTGAGTAGTACATTTCCTTAGGTCTACATGTACGAAAACAAATTATTCCAGTAGCTGGGGAACAAGAGATCAGGCTGCTGCTTCTGGAATGACAGTTTAAAAGCTCCAACAGCACGCCGCAGGAATTTCAAGTTATTATCACGTAATGCAAATATCTCACAAGCTATAATTACGGTTAGCTCCTGAAAGTGGTATTACAGAACACAACGAAGACCTCTTCGTTTACTTCTCTGTGGCTATAATTCCAGAAGTAGCATGGGCATGACAGATTAAAACCCAAACAAAACACACTCCACTACCCCCCAGAAAAACAACCACTGTTCAATGGGAAACCTGTTTTAGGAGTTTCAATGGAACAGAAAATGTAACTGTTCTTCGTGACATAACAATTTAACTAAAGTGTTTTCTGGTTAATTCAGTACACGAGGAAAAACATTATTGTTCTACAAAGTAATATCTAGGGTAGAGGTAGCCAATGAAGTGCCCTCCCCCCCCTTGCTAGACTACAACTCCCACCATCCCTGACCATTTGGCATGCTGGCTGAAGGGAATTGGGAGTTGTCGTTCACAGGCATCAAGAGAGGACCACACTGGCTACCCCTGGTCTAATGAATCTTCTAATGCAAAGCAGCTAAAACCTGGTCTAGGCAGGACTAGATTGGGCCTTCCAAGCAAATTTTTCTGCTCTCCATCCCCAAGACCCCACTAATTTTGGAAACATCTTCTTCTTCTTTTAATTAGACACAATGCTGGGGTGGGCAGAGTCATTTAAGGCCAAGCCAGCCCCCTGATGAGGATGCAAATTGCCCCCTCCCTGGTTGCCAGAGTGATCATTAGATGAGCCGCAAGGAGGCAATATCCTAGGGCTGATCTGCAAGCATTGGCTGAGGAGGGGGGGTGCATCCTATGTGCTTGTGTGCGCGAGTCTGGCATCGCCACAACTACCACTGGCTTCTGACCTCAAATCCCCGTTCTATCAAGTTCAGGCATCCCCAACCTGCGGCCCTCCACGTGTTTTTGACCTACAACTCCCATGATCCCTAGCTAACAGGACCAGTGGTCAGGGATGATGGGAATTGTAGTCCAAAACATCTGGAGGGCAGAAGGTTGGGGGTGCCTGATCAAGATGTGTCTCCCGGAGACTGACAATGAGAAGAAAAAGCAAGGTAATCAGAAAGGTGCATTTACCACTATTTCATAGGTGTGGTCGCTCTGGTGTTTCTTGTACTCAAATCCTATCGTGAAGCACTGCAAAACAAAGGAGTTTGCCACTAGGTTACTTTTCTTCCTTCTTTCTGTAGATGGGAAACAGGGACTTTATACTGACTATAAAGAGGTAAAATGAAAAGGACACAGGGATGCCTCGATCACAAACAAAACATCCCTTCCCTATAGTTATTTCCTGGAACCTTTCTAACAAACAGTTTCCTTTTATTGGTGCTATGCAATAAATAAACTGTTAAACACACTGAAAAGGGGCTGACTCCAGCATATAACACCATTGACTATAATTCACAGGCTCACGTTGCCAAGAAGACTGCTTTACAACAAAGAATAGCAATCTGTTTGCAGATGACTTCCAACAAGACTTTGGCGCAGCTTGGAGTTGTTAGCCCAGGAGTCAGCAGCCATTTTAGGCTAGTGGGCAGATTTGTAATTATGAGAGAGTGCCATGGGAGACAGAAAATGGCTGCTATGGAGGCATGCTATGGAGGCATGCTAACTTCAGCATAGGAGAGGCTGAGCTGGTACGAACAGGGACTGATCAGGAAGCACAAACAGTTTCTCAGGTATTGTTGATTTCTGAAGAAATGTTTTTGGAGACCTTTCAGAGCACCGCAGGAGATAATGGCAGGCACACTGGTGCCTCGGGTTCCACGTTGGTGACCCCCTATGTGAGCCACTGCCAGCTATACAAAAGAAAAAGAAAAAGCAGCAGCAAGAGCTGGGAGCTCTTGTCTTATTGACATGCCCTAGTCTGCTTCCTGGTGATCTGGCTACTTGGCTTTCAGCATCCTGGGAGAACACAACAGGCTTGGTAGCTCAACCCTCCTTCATTTCTCTCCTTGTAAATGTAAGTTTACCTGCAAGCACAGCAAGAAGGGAGGTGGGCCGCACTCTGCACACTTTATGTAAGGTTCTGCGAGGTAAGAGGAACACCCTCGGCATGGCGGCTTGTCAAAGGGGTCATCTGTAAAGCCAACAAGACCAATACGTAATAAAGCTTGGGCGCCATTTTGCAAAGCAAACTCCTTCACTTGTTGTCGGCGGAGAAAGTGACACAGTAATACATCTACATGTTAAGGTAAATAGGACACGGTGGGGAAAGTTTGTGGAATATTTGAAAAATCCTAGCATGCAAGCAAGTTCATTAGTAGGGTTAACTTAAATCAAGCAGTTAAAATTATTATCAAGAGAAATGGAAGAATAACTTAAAAACGGAGCAAAGTGGAAAATGCAGTGTTAAAAATTTAAATCAGAAAAGAAACCACAAAAGGGGGGAGGGAAGTGAAATATGTTATTGTACCGGATGTATTTGTTTGAAAGGCGTGTAATTGTGATTTTTTTATTGAGAGAAAAAATTAAAAAGAAAAAGATAGATAGGAAACTGCCCTATACTGAATCAGACCATTGGTCCATCTAATTCAATTTCAGATCAGAACATTTCCCCAGCCCTTTCTGGCGATGCTGTGTTTTGAATCTGGGACCTTCTGCATAGGCCAGGGTGTTTTTGTGCCAACAGACACTAGTAGGGTGGACACTGAAACTACTACATATTGTGATTTTTTATTGAGAGAAAAAATTAAAAAGAAAAAGATAGATAGGAAACTGCCCTATACTGAATCAGACCATTGGTCCATCTAATTCAATTTCAGATCAGAACATTTCCCCAGCCCTTTCTGGCGATGCTGTGTTTTGAATCTGGGACCTTCTGCATAGGCCAGGGTGTTTTTGTGCCAACAGACACTAGTAGGGTGGACACTGAAACTACTACATATCCCTAGTGACGCCAGCCATCAAAACTCAAGCTGGTTCATATCTGTTCAACCCCATTCTACGCAGGTGCAGGAAACATTTGGCTGTCCAGACACTGCTGAACTACAGCTCCCATCACCCACAGCAAGCACAGCCAGTGGCATGGGATGATGGGAGTAGTAGTTTAACAACATCTGGAGGGCCAAAGGTTCCCCTTGCCTGCACGAGTTGAGATGGAATGCCAGGAAATGGATTTTATATGGATTTCTGGGTTTCCTCTGTAAACCTTGGGGTTTCCCAAGGCTGCTACTACCTCCCCCTTGAATGTGGCTGGGGCCATTTTGGCTACAATAAGGAACATGTTCTCGGAACATGAGAAACAGAAGTAAGTTGCATAGCCACATATCATTCCACATTCACTTATGATCTCGCCAGATCAGGTGGTATCTTTCACCTAGCACTACCTATTTATGAAAGTTGGGGATTCACATTGCAAGCACTATCAGCAACCTTTGAGTGACTCTACTTACTGCTGAACGATGTCAGACGCTCCATGTTCCTCCCTTGGGCACCTGAACTTCACTTAAAGACTACAATCTCTCATTGAATTAAGCTTTCCAGTGACGCTCAACCCCTGAAAAAAGAAAAATAAAGATGTGTGCCCGTTTGTAGGCCCCTGGAAGAAAAATATAGGAATACAGGAAGATGCCTTATACTGAGTCAGACCATTGGGCCATCTAGCTCAATACTGTCCACACTGACTGGCAGTAGCATTCCAGGGTTTCAGGCAGGGAATACCCAGCTCTGCCTGGAAATGCCGTCAAGAAGAAAAAGAGCCATCAGCACC